TTCACATCACATCTTCAATCACCATTTAAATAATCTACCTTAATTTTCTATAATTATTAGAGCATACAAAATTTTTTAATTGATTACCTTTTGTCCTGATCCTTTCATATATTAAGGGTGAGAGAAATAATATTCTTTAAAAAAAAGAAAACAAATGTTTATTTTAATAAATATTGTATTAACCGTTAGTTGCCGGCTCATTGATCTAGAGGTTAAGCGTTCACGTGCGAGACCGATAGATTCTGGGTTCGAGTCTAGGCGAGATTGTGGATGCGCGCTATTGAGGAATCTATAGCAACTCACATGCAATTGAGTTTGTTCTCATTTAACTCAGTTAAGCCCTTTGTTAACTTATTTATTTAGCGGACAAAGTCATCCGTACTATAACAACTTATTTTACCTTTATTATTGTTGTGCTTGTATGAAATATGTATGCTTGAACATTGCTTACCAACTACGCGTATAGTCATCCTGCTAGCCTTCATGTTAGTCGCATAATTGATTCGATGATCCATTCATTTCCCTATATATATACATGTACATTTAACACTCTACACTCTCGGTTCGCTGACTCACTTGCCTCACTGCTTTGTGGTGTGAGTTATCTACTAATAAAACTGTAGTCGCTGCTTCTCTTTGCCTTCTGATTTCAAACACCGTTGAGGATTATATGATAACGATTACGAGAGTGATTGGTCAACGAAGCACAGCCACTACAAATCCAACAATAGGACGAGACATCCGTTCAGTGTTTCTGGGTTTTTCATGCTGGTCTAGTTTTAATGGACTCATGAACTCAACTATTAAAATTACTATAATATCCACAAAAACCCCTTTTGATATTATTATATAATTCTTGTTCAAACATCTTTTATTCATTAATTAAAATCAACATCTCTTTCATATAATAATTAGTAACAAACGTCTTGTCTTGTAGAGAGTAGTATATTTATGACCTTTATACCCTTTATTTAAGTAATAATTTAAAAGAAAAGAAACAACGCAAATTTAAACTTCACTAGCTCTTAAGTTGGTAAGGTTATTTAATCATATATGTCTGCATATATAGTATAAACCTGTTATCTATTAATGTGTAAGTTAGTGTGAATGCTGAGATTTTGATAATTTAGTATTTTGATCAGAATAGGACCTGTTGAGATGGTGGTAATTCTAATAGTTGAAATCATAAGTCGATGTAAGCTAGACCACTAATGAAACGTAGGAGCACTAGATGACCATTTCGTCCTAGTATGGGACTCCTCAGGATTGAGCATCGACAATCATGCATGCGGGAGTCGAACTCGGGACCTTCAGTCTCGTGCGCGAACGCTTAACCCATAGTCCACTAAGTCGACTGACATCCGATGGTGTTAATGTCTAATCTCAATCCATCCATGATCTTGCACAACTATTCATCCATTGTCTGAGGTAGATACCTGTCTCTACCCGACAAATATTCTACTCCACTGGTCATACCTTCTCACTAGAATTCCAGAAAATCATCTTGAATTCAGTCACTAATGAACACATGATGAATATGATCAGAATGGTAGTTTTTGGAGATTGTCTTAATTCTAATAATTGAATTCTTGAGTCGATGTATTTTGTTTATTTAAACCGATGGTCAGATAAAAAGTAATAACTAGTATAGAGGTTATAGAAATTATTAAGTTTTTGATAGAGATCACGAACCGATTGATGTTAGACCACCTTTGGAAATCTGGAAGCACCGGACGGCCGTTTCGTCCTATTGTGGGACTCCTCAGCAATGCGCATCCACGATCCCGCCCGTGGGATTCGAACCAAGAGCCTTCAGTCTCGCACTCGAACGCTTAACTTACTGGACCACTAAGCCGGCATCCTGTAGGTCAGGCGTACGCGTGCGAGACTGAAAGCCCTGGGTTCGGATCCCACGAGCGAGATTATTGATGCGCAATGCTGAGGAGTCCCAAAATAGGACGAAACGGCCACCCAGTGCTTCCAGGTTTCCAAAGGTGGTTTAATATCAATCGGTTCACGATCTCAATCAAAAAAATAATAAGCCAATAAGATTGATGATTGATGAATAACAGATCAAAATTACTTGTTGTTTGTTAACAATCCTATTTCATAATCTGTGTATCTCAGGTGTAATCAAATTAATGAAAATCTATTTAAACAAGATTGTTTTAAGATTCTTCTCTTGAATGAAATTATCAATCAAGTTACTTCATCTTCTATATGAATTGGATTCATCAAAATCCTATGATATTGTTATTACATGATGTGTTTATATCAACTGTCTAAGCTAAAAACAGTTTTAAAAGGGTCTAGATTTGTCATAAAATGGTTCATTGTCCTTGTTTTCAACACACACACACACACAAGAAATACGTAAAATGCTCAATGTTTCTTTTATTGTTCCATCTGATTATAATAAAGCAATTGTATTGTATGATTCCCTATCATCTAATGCAGACTGATTTATTAGAATTAAAGGAGAAAAAAACCAAGGGAAAAACAACTCTTTCAATCTAATCTATATTCTTATTCACTTAGTAATTTATCAATTTATGTTATCAATCAAGATGATGGGATAAATACAGAGATAGGGAGAGAGAGAGAGAGGGATTCAACCCTTCAATTCTATCTGTCATTGGTAACAAAAATGAACTTCTACAAACCAATCCATTGTTTATTCTTTTGTTTAAAAAAAAGGAAAACAGTGAGAAAAAGTGTAGAATTTAGTTTCTGGTTGAAAACAACATTTAAAACTGATAATTTTTTTTCACTTGGTTTGAGGAGAATGGTACTGGGTTCGAATCCCACAATGAACATCGATACTGAGATACGGGTACATCCAGCTGACCAGTCCCAAATAGGACGAAACACATGTCTTGGATTCCACTTCTAGCCACTATCCATATTTGCTCATAAAGCTTGGTAATTTTTTTTTTTTATTATCAAATGTGAACGCTTAGACGAGAGGATAAAATAAACATGAAATTGAAGTAAATTTTCCCTTCATTTGTAGTTTTCTACTATTTGGAAGATGTTTATCGGAATGTATTTTTTTTAGCTTTAAAGTACATTTCATACGATATTATTCTTGTTTATAACTAAATAATTCATAAGAAATGTCACAATTTTGATAGATAAGAAACTTCTGAGTTGAAATATGTAAATGTATATACTACTCAATTAAATAAGTAGTTACTGATAGCTAAATGTCAATTAAACACAAGTGTTCATTACTACTCAAAGTAACAAGCTATTCATACAATTTGACATATTTCACTTGTCTGAATAATTCTTATTTTTATTTGAGTTCTTCTATCCAAGAGTTTTATATCTAACCTTCTAATATTCACGTTGTAATATAAATTGTTAATGATAAATATTGTTTATTTAGTTCCTATAATGGTTTGAATTATTTTTTTTCTGGTTAGTGTTTTTTAGCGAGTTAGTTTTCTAAGGGATGGGGTCGCTAACTCCATACCCAATCCTCCTCTTTTATCCGGGCTTGGGACCGGCAGTAGCCCAATAGAGGCTCTAGGCGGAGGACACGCGACAGCAAATTCAAGAGATGACCAGTGTAGCAGCAGCCTCAGCAGCAGTAGGTATCAGTGCACACAAATGAAAAAGTAAGATTCTCCGATACAATACAGCATGCACCAATCTAGTCACAATTGATGGAGAGGCTTTAGAAGATATAAAAACTTTTACATATCTGGGCAGCATCATTGATGAACACGGTGGATTTGATGCAGATATGAAGGCACGAATCGGCAAAGCAAGAGCAGCATATTTACAACTGAAGAACATCTGAAACTCAAAAAAACTGTCTATCAACCAACAACAAGGTCAGAATTTTCAATACATATGTCAAAACAGTTCTACTTTATAGGGCGGAAACTTGGAGAACTAATAAAGCCATCATCCAGAAGATAAAAGTGTTTATTAGCATTTGTCTACGCAAAATACTTCAGATCCGTTGACCAGACACTACCAGCAACAATCTACTGTGGGAGAGAACAGACCAGACTCCAGAGGAGAAAGAAATCAGGAAGAAGTGCTGGAAGCGGATAGAGCACACATTGAGGAAAGCACCGAACTGTGTCACAAGACAAGCCCTCAGATGGAATCCTGAAGGCCAAGGGAGGAGAGGAAGACCAAAGTACATATTACGCCGAGAGATGGAGACAGACATGAGAAGAATGAACAAAAATTAGATAGAACTGAAAGGAAGGTTCAGGACAGAGTGGGTTGGAGAATGTAAGTAAGTAAGTGAGACCACCGTTGAAAACCTAACACAATTGGACGAATGTTTCATCCTAATATAGGTCTCCTCAAAAGTATGTATCCTACAACCGTGTGAGCGGGACTTGGAATCACGACCTCTGGTTTTGTACGCGAATGATTAACTTTTAGATCAATCAAACCAACTGGCATCTAACAGTGTTAATGTTTAACATCATACAATAAACTTTAACAATAATTCCCTTTATTTTCACGCCATCGGTGATCAATTTCTTTGTTGTTCTTTTATATCAACACTTCATTATTGTGACATTAGAAAAAAAAAAGACAAAGATGATCTTTCTCGTTTATGCTTTTAATCCTTTTCATTTTGAAAATTTCTACGCTTCAATAATTTTATTTCTAATGATGGGAAATTATTCATAAATTTAGTACTGTCTTCACAAATGTCATTTAATAATTCACTATGTGTGTAAATTCATCATTTGACATTTCTTCTTCGTTATCACTTTTCTTTTCTTTTCTTTTCTTTCTTTTTTGAAAAAAAAAGTTGATTTGGCAAAATGAATGAATCTTTCTTTAGAAGATATTACTAATTTACCTGTTTATATCTCGTTGACTTTATTTATTTTCATACACTTGTATATGTCTGTCATCTATTATACATTTTGTAATAGACAGACAAACATATATATGATTGATGTATACACATATACTTATAGAAAACATGTTTACAATTACATAATGAACTCAGTTTCATATTAGCTAATAAACGGTTTAGTATAGTAGATCATCATCATCATCATCATCATCATCATCATCATCATCATCATCATCATCATCATCATCATCATCATCATCATCATCATCATCATCATCATCATCATCATCATCATCATCATCATCATCATCATCATCATCATCATCATCATCATCATCATCATCATCATCATCATCATCATCATCATCATCATCATCATCATCATCATCATCATCATCATCATCATCATCATCATCATCATCATCATCATCATCATCATCATCATCATCATCATCATCATCATCATCATCATCATCATCATCATCATCATCATCATCATCATCATCATCATCATCATCATCATCATCATCATCATCATCATCATCATCATCATCATCATCATCATCATCATCATCATCATCATCATCATCATCATCATCATCATCATCATCATCATCATCATCATCATCATCATCATCATCATCATCATCATCATCATCATCATCATCATCATCATCATCATCATCATCATCATCATCATCATCATCATCATCATCATCATCATCATCATCATCATCATCATCATCATCATCATCATCATCATCATCATCATCATCATCATCATCATCATCATCATCATCATCATCATCATCATCATCATCATCATCATCATCATCATCATCATCATCATCATCATCATCATCATCATCATCATCATCATCATCATCATCATCATCATCATCATCATCATCATCATCATCATCATCATCATCATCATCATCATCATCATCATCATCATCATCATCATCATCATCATCATCATCATCATCATCATCATCATCATCATCATCATCATCATCATCATCATCATCATCATCATCATCATCATCATCATCATCATCATCATCATCATCATCATCATCATCATCATCATCATCATCATCATCATCATCATCATCATCATCATCATCATCATCATCATCATCATCATCATCATCATCATCATCATCATCATCATCATCATCATCATCATCATCATCATCATCATCATCATCATCATCATCATCATCATCATCATCATCATCATCATCATCATCATCATCAACAATGCATGATTATAAGCAAAAATGGTTGTTGGCTAGCAGTGGAATCGAGGACACGCATTTCGTCTTATTTATGATTCGTTAGCTGAATGTACCTGCATTCCAAATTTGATGTGTCACTCCTGGACGTGGACCCAGTGCTGTACCTTTCAAACACTATTACGTTATCCACTTAGTTACTGAGTCCTGACAGCCACTTGATTGTGTAATCAGGTGAAGTTTAAATTTACTTGGTACTATTTAGAAAGAGAGTGGTCAGTTACAGTCCTAACACATCAATGGGAAGATTCAAGTAAACAATACTAAGTGGATCTAAAGAATAATTATGTTTAGTGATGCATTACAAGACATTGTTGTTGTTTTATTCTTACTAAGTTTTTCGTTTGTTCGGCTTTATCCATTTGTAATGAGAATTCACACATATATTTTTATAAACCGACAATTATATTACTTCTCTACACATTATAATGACATGATAAGTGTTGTAAAATTAATTGATGAATTCAGTCAAAAATAGTGTACAAGTTGGAGGGAAAATTAATAAGGCGAAAAACCCTTTGTTGTGTATTCTCATCTACAATGACAGAATGACAAAGAGAGATAGAGAAAGAAAGAAATTGAACAATATGATTAGTTGACAGTAACATTTGTAATTATTATCATTATCATTCGAATCTTATTAGAACACTAAACTGCACACACTTACACTCATACATACCAACATCTCGGAAGTTTAATAAACAAGTTGTGTATCAACAAATTTATCGTTGTATGATATATTTTTATTGTGAGTACTAGTGTTAACTATTGTAGGATGTAGGTAAATAATGAATATCTGAGTAATATTAAGGTAGGGGATTTGCGGAGATTGATTTTAGTTGTGTTACTGGACTATTGAATTCTCAGAGCAAAATAGGTGTTATTAGTTTTACTTCATGTGACGTTCTTAGGTGGTTACTGATTAGTTGGAAATAAGACTCAAGAAATTATTCAGATAGCTGATTAACGTATGTTATTTCCCCTTATGAAAAAGTAATCATTACCATTAAAAAAATCGTAAAATATCAGCCTATTTATTATGGATTGCCAGGCAACACAGGATGCTTATTTCAATTAAAACTTCACCTAATTGCACAAGCAAGTGGCTATTAGGACTCAGTAGCTGAGTGGATGACGCGATGGCGTTTGGAGCGAATGGTACTGGGTTCGAGTCCCAGAGTGAACATCAACTCTGAGATGCAGGCACATCCAGCTGACGAGTCCCAAAGAGGACGAAACGCGCGTCCTGGATTTCACTGTTAGCCACTATCCATCATTGCTTACAAATAGCTTGTGAATTAAGGTAATATCGAGGCATACGCACAGTATGCACATATGCCAATAACAGACTGATCAATTACAGTCTTAAACCTCAATGGGAAGATACAAGCCAAACAGTATCAAGTGAACCCTTTTTTATCGCTTTTACATTTAACCGTTTATTTAATTTTGTAAAAGATGGATAAGATAAATGTTGACAATTTACAATTTCTAAAAAGGTAGATCTACCATTAATTGTAACTTTGATCAATCATTTCAAATAAATATATTGTCACCATAAGGTATTGTCAAGATTAACTTTTTCAGATTCCTGGCTGACCTTGATTAGATAACCATTAAAACTCTGAAAGCGCTGTGTAGCTGTTTACCTCTGGTACGGAATTCATCAGCAGTGAACATACAAGACCCTGTCATGGTTTCAAATTCAGAAACTTCAATTCTTATAACAAGCGCTTCATGTCACTGAGCTGACATCCAGTTGTTTACATTCTTAATATCAGTTATTTCGCGACTCTTCTTAATCACTGTTCACTCTCATTAATGATATTTGTCTCATGTTTGTTATGACTTATTTCTACCCGACATGATTTCCCAATAGTACTACAGTGATCACTTTTCATGAGGACTGCAGCCTCTATGTTCAGGGAGCGGTAAAGTCTTGGATATACACTGCTCACAAATACCACATAAAGACAAAACAGCAGTTCAGAGCTTCTTGGCTTCTATAAGTTGTTTAGCTAAAATCAGTCGCTGATATGAAAAAAAGTTAAATACTTTGGATATAACTGTCACAGTTAATTTCTTAATCATATATATTCAGTCAGTGAATGTCTCATTAGTTTCGAATTTTCTATTCTGTTTAGCTTCACGTATCTCTTTCCATGTAAGCAGATTGTCAATTATTTTTGGTCAGTTCATTTATTTTAACAATAATTTTACTAAGCTCATCATTACTAGATAATTATAATCAATAGTGGATTTTTAATGAACATTTATCAAGTACTCACTAGCTTCGAAAGAAAATTTCTAGAGTTCTAGTGAGAAGCGATGATCAATGGGCGTGAGATAGTTACCCACCAAAAACAATGGAAAATAGTCACTCAATATCGTGGATTGATTGAAGTTAAACATTAATATCATTAGATACTGACTTAGTGATTTATAGTTTAATCACTCGTGGGTAAGATATAGTGTCCAAGTTTAGATTCCCGATTACAGGGTCATAGATATACACTTCCGAAGTATCACAAATGATTGATCACTGGATGGTGATCAATGTCATATGTGTCGAGTCCTTCTTAGTGCAGATCGAATGCTATTTACCAAGTTACAATGTGACCACTAGTCTAGGTAACTCGAAATTGCGTGCACTATGTTGATATTAGACGGTGGTTGGAGGTAGCGAACAAGAAACACTGGACCCGGGTTTCGTACTACTTGGCACTCGTCAGCAAGGTGTGTCTGTCATGGATATACACTTCCGAAGCATCTAATGGTTCCAGGTTTTCAATGATTGTTTGACTTAGATCAATTCATAATTTCAATGAAATACACTAATCTCCTTAACCTTATACTGACAATGAAGTAAATAAATCAATTACAAATGACTAGAAACTAAATCCATTCTTTGTCTCTCTTACTTATGAATACTGACATACAGATGACTGAAAATAATAAATAAATTAAATATTCCCTTTTTAAGTGTATATATATAATAAATTGCGCATTTTCATTGTATTCTATCTACCATTTCATTTCATTTATTGTATATGAAAATTAAATGAATTAATTAAAAATTAATTACTTGGTATTACTTATATTTCTTAATGTGTGCATGTATGCATGTGCGTGTGTGTGTGCTTGTGTGTGCGTGTGCGTGTACGTGTTTAGGAGATACAATTAAAACGAAATTGTAATGAAGTGAGTGTTCAATGGTTTGATTGAGTTTCTTTTTATTATGTTTTTTTTTTAAAAAAATACACGAGAAATCCAATGAAGAGATCTTTCATTAATAAATTTATGATTACTAGGATAAGGGTTGTGGAGATTATTAAGTTTTTGATTGATATCATGAACCGATTGGTGTTAGACCACCTTTGGAAATCTGGAAGCACTGGACGGCCGTTTCGTCCTAGTGTGGGACTCCTTAGCAGTGCGCACCCATGATCCCGCTCGCGGAATTTCCTGGATTGGTTGATGTTAGACACTATCACCGCTGGATGCTCGCTCAGTGGTTAAGCGTTTGTGCGCGAGACCGAAGGCCCTGGGTTCGAATCCCGCGAGTGGAATCGTGGATGCGCACTGCTGAGGAGTCCCACAATAGGACGAAGCGGACGTCCAGTGCTTCCAGATTTCCAAAGGTGGTCTAACATCAACCGGTTTATGATCTCAATCAAAGTTTATGATTATTAAAACAACACATAATGCTATTGAATAAGAAAAAGAGAATTCGGTGAGGAGGAATTTTTTCGACGAATGGTTTTCTTAGGCTGGCCTATCATTCTTGGATGTGTTAAGGATAAATTTCTGCTTTGGACCACATTAATATGTATCTATAAATTTACTTGCTCATGTGAGGTATGTTACATAGGTCTCACAAAGCAATCACTTTTTAAATGCATCTCAGAACACTATCCAGCTTGGATTTTAAAAGATGAATGTAAAAACAATTACTAGTTTTATACAGGAGCATTTAATCAACGGTGGACACATCGCTCCAAAAGATTCGTCTTTTAAAATAATCTATAGAGTCAAGGGAATTCGATCAAAGGAGTGTCGAATCAATTTTGCCAAACATCATCAGCTACAACATATTGTGGCACGGAACAAACCAGCTTCCTGATTAAAAGGAAATTAGGAAGAGATGCTGTGGATGGATAGGACACACATTACGAAGATTGAACTACATCACAAAACAAGCCGTAATTTGGAACCCCCAAGGGTAAAAGAAAGGAGTTAAAAAAAACACAATGCACCGGAAATCTTGGATAAACATTATAAGAATGAATAAAGAATAAAACCAACTGGAAAAGGGACTTAAGGACAAATTTGGTTGGAAGATCTTTGTCAGTAGCCTATTCTCTATGGATATCAATAGGCATAATTAAGTAGTGATCGTAGGTACACCGTTTTTGAAGAGTATGTTATTACAGTGAAACAGCTTTTCGATATTTCATAGCTTTTAATAGTTTTTTCTATTTCAGTTATTCTTAGTCTGTAATCATAGCTATAATCATACAAATCTTTAATTTTAGATAACACTGCACAGTAAACAATCGTTAAAACACTATCCTGTAAGAATTAATGTGCCATCCTCTCCTTCTCTCTCTCTCTGTGTGTGTGTGTACACATTTATATGATAAGTATTTAAATGAATAAAATATTAACGAAATGCACATTCAACCCCTTAAATATCAACAAACTTACATGAGATGTTAACTGTACTTACTTACTTACTTACGCCTGTTACTCCTCGTGAAGGAGCATAGGCCACTCACCAGCATTCTCCATCCAACCCTGTCCCAAGCAATCCTTTCTAGCTCCGTCCAGTTGTAATTCATCCTTTTCATATCTGCTTCTATTATCCGATGCAATGTGTTCTTTGGCCTTCCTCTTTTTCGCTTCCCTTCAGGATTCCAAGTTAGGGCTTGCCTCGTGATGCAGTTTGACGATTTGAGTA